CCCAAACGCTCAACCCTAAACCCTCGTGCCATCTGCTGCGCTCGCCGCAAGATCTGGGCGCGTGGGCGCCGCTAGCAGTGGATGACAAAAAGAAAACGAAGAAAACCCAATACCCCTTAATTAAGGAATATACCCTAACATATATAGGGGCCTTACCCTAAACCCAACAAGATGCATCAAGCAAACGACAATGACTCCTGCAACACGACAAAAACAAAACACTGCGTAGGATCCCGATTCAACCCTGCACGAATCCTTAAGCAGCCTTATTCACTCTTATACACACGATATCCGACATGGGGGTTTCCGAAAATAGGGAACCCTAATATAGTACCCTAAATAGTAGGATCCTTATTATAAGGACCCCAAAATAAGGTGCTCCCAATTTTCGGAAACTTCCACATTCAAAAACCCAAATCCGAAACCCTGAGTCTTAAACCCTATAGAGCCTGAACATTTAACAACAGAAAAGCCCCACACCCCCTTCTAGAGCCCTTTTCAGGGAGCCTTCATTTAAGTGAGCCACAGAAAAAACCCTAAACCCTAAACCGAACCGTACTCCCCCAAACCTCAACTCCTACCCTTCAGGAGAACCCTGACTCCCCCAAACCTCAAGCCTTACCACCCTTTCAAGGAACCCTTTACAGGAGCTCCTTAACGGCCCACTTTAAAGGAGCTCTTTAAAAGAACCCTTTAAAGGAAGCCTTCAAGGCCCCCTGTAAAGGAACTTAACGGAACCCCTTTAGGGTAGGTTCAAGCCCTGTGGAATTCTTGAAAGCCCCAAGGGTCCATGTGCCCATATAGTATGTACATTGGCCTTAACGTAGTTTGGGTTTAGGGTTTAGGGTTTTGGGTTTTGGGTTTGGGGTTTAGGGTTTAGGGTTTAGTAATCACCATATGGGTATTTTGGGGCTTAAGTATATAGTAAACCCTAAACCCTAAACCCTAAACCCTAAACCCCTAAACCCTAAACCCTTAAACCCTAAACCCTTATAGTATTTGGGAGCATGGAATGTCAGGGAAAGGGAATGCCACAGGTCTGACCCGAACGGTACTCGGCCAAAGCTGCCGAGCAACTTGGCGAAAGGATTCGCAGACGCGTGTGATTTTTGGGTTTTTTGGGTTCAGGGGTTTTGGGATGTTGGTTCAGGAGTGTTGGGATGTTGGTTTTGTTGTTTTGGGGGGTTGCTTAGGCATCAGTAGGGTTTTAAGGGGGCGTTGTGGGGATTTGCGCCGATTCTTGTGCTTGTTAGGTATACAAGGTATGACATTGGGCTTAGGGCTTAGGATTTGATGGTCGGCCAGGAATCACCGTGGTACGTTGAAGAAACGAACATATCCCTGAGGGTTCAATCCTTCTTCAAACCCTCATAGCAACCCTTGAAGAAACCCTTAAAGGAAAGCCAAAACCCTAACCCTAAAACCCCTAAGCCCTAAACTCCTACACCCAAACCGTCAAAGGAACCCTTACAGGAACCCGGTCGGAGGACTTAGTAAGTAGGTAAGAGGTAGAGCCAGGTAGAGTTATTGCCGTAAATGGGATCCTAATTGCGGTGTGCTTATAACTATCAAAGGTTTGTATTTACTAAGTGCCCGGACCCTCCAAGCAACACCCTAAACCCTAAACACCGAACATCAAAGCCCTAATTTATCGCCGAAAAGCCTTCAAGCCCTACGTAAATCCCACCATAGCCCAAGAAGGGTACGGAGAGCAACTAAAACCCTAAACCCCTAAACCCCCAAACCCTTAAACCCTTAACCCCTAAACCCCTAAACCCAAAACCCCCAAACCCTAAACCCTAAACTCCTCACTCAACGTGCCGGCCTTGAGTTGCGGTTCCAAGAAACCCAGGCTTCCTGTTCTAATCTAAGGTTAGAAGTATGGGCCCCTTAATATGGACCCGTAGGCCTTTTTGGGGGGGTTCCCGTGACCCGCAAGGGTGTATACAGGATAGTAGGTATATCGGGGTCCCAGGGTTAAGGGCCCATACTATGGGCCCATGGCCTAGAACTTAGATTCTAGGAATTTCCTAAATTCTAAACCCTAAACCCTAAACCCTAAACCCTAAAACCCTAAACCCTAAACCCTAGAAGGGGGTTACTATAAGAGCGCTGCCAGGAATCTCTGAGTTTCTAGGGTTTAGAGCCTTGGGGGTTTAAGGTTGAGGGCTTAAAAGCTGATCCCTAAACCCTAAACTCGAAGCCCTAAAAATCCTAAAGCCCTAAAACCCCAAAGCCCTAAACCCTAAAACCCTAAACCCTAAAGCCCTAAAGCCCTAAAACCCTAAAGCCCTAAACCCCTAAACCCCTAAATCCCTAAAGTCCTAAAACCCTAAATACCCTAAAGCCCTAAACCCTAAAACCCTAAACCCTAAAGCCCTAAAGCCCTACTTTAAGCCCTAAAACTCTAAAACCCTAAACCCTAAAGCCCTACTTTAAGCCCAAGCTCCACACGGCATCCTCGCTGATGCCGGGGGCGGCAGCTCCCCAGAGCACCCAATACCCCCTAATTAAGGAATATACCTTAAATTATAGTAGGATCCCTAATATGATTTAAGGTATATTCCTTAATTAAGGGATATTGGAGTCTCTGGCTCCTCCGCGGTGCCGGCGATGAGTTTTACGGCGATGCGAACTGCATGGAAGGCCAGCGGGATTGATAAAGGGTTTAGGGATTTATAAAGGGTTTAGGGTTTAGGGTCTATAGGGTTTAGGGTCTATAGGGTTTACGGTTTAGGGTCTATAAGGTCTAGGGTTTAGGGTCTATAGGGTTTAGGGTTTAGGGTTTAAGGTTTAGGGTTTAGGGTCTAGGGTCTAGGGTTAAGGGTTTCGGTTTGGGGTTTAAGTATTTGTAGAGGGAATACTGGTCCGTTTAGGGTACCCTGAGCCCTAAACCCCAAATCCTAAACCATGCTAATCCCCTGAACCCCTCACCCCCCAAAAGCCCTAAGCGCTGTTACTTTAGGGTTTAGTATGCACTATTAAACACTATTAAGAACCCGTGACGAATAGTAGTGGTAGTTACTTCGGACCTAGAAATGTGGCACCCCAGTCCCGTACTCCGGAACCGTTCATGCCTCAACCTTGTCTGCTCAGTGCCAAACGTTTTGGGGTTTAAGGTTTATAGGGTTTGCCTAGGACTTGAGTTTTCACCTCAGCCCCAAACCCTGTCCTCTATGTCTTAGACCGTACAGCCTGCGTAGGCCTTCTTTCCATAGTCCCTAAGCCTTAAACCCAAAGCCCTTGTCGCTGAAGCCAGAACATGAAGCCCTAAACCTACATCGCCATGAAACCAGCGTATGAAACGTAGGGTTTAGGGTTTCGGGTTTAGGGTTTGGGTCAACTCAGGACATGCAAGCAAGACCTAAACCCCTAAACCCCCTAACCCCCTAAGCCCTAACCTCCCCCCCAAAGTCATAAACCCAGAAGTCGTTCTAAACCCCTAAGGCGCTAAACTCTGAAACCTGTATCAACACTTTAGGGTTTAGGGTTTAGGGTTTAGGGTTTAGGGTTTAGGGTTTAGGGCAAGCCCTGAATCCCTTTACAAGCTCCGAAGCCTTAAACCCTCATAAACCCTAAACACTAACGAAGCCCCACAAGCGAAATCAATCGTGAAACCCCAAACCCTTCAACCGTAAACCCTGAACGCAAATGAAACCCTGAAGGCTAAATCAATCCCCAAACCCCAACGCTTCAACCCGGAATCCCAAAGCCAGTAAAGTCTAAATCCCCACAATACCTAGAGGCTCCATATAGACTACCATTTTGGAATTAATTAAGTCCCAAAAGACCATACTTATTCTGGCTTTATAGGGACCTAGTTCCATAATGGTAGTATATATGGAGCCCCGGATATGGACCCCTTCCTGAACCCTAAACCCCTAAACCCGAAACCCTAAACATCAACCTAGGGCTGAGCAGGGTCTAAGGCTGCGGTTTTACCGGGTTTCGGAGACAGGGTTTAGGTAGGGCTGGGCGGCTAGGAAGCCTTACCTGTAGCCCCGAACACAAGAAACATGCCAGGTTTTGACCCCTTAAGGGTTTGCGGGGTTTAGGGGTTTAGGGTTTAGGGTTTAAGGGTTTAGGGTTTAGGTGTTTAGGGCTTAGGGTTTAACTATACAGGTTTAGAGGGTATAGGGTGTAAAACCGTAGCCTTACCCTTAGCATCAAAGTAGCCCAAAAGCCTCATATAACAGGGTCTT